ATGTTATCCATTTTGAGATGTAGTTGAAGGTATTGAACAGTTTACAGTTGACATTAATTCCTTTGAATGTTATTCATGAGAATTTTGTGATGTTTGTTGGCATGTGCTTAAATATCGGATAATAATCTGGACAATTCCTTCGTTGTAGCTTATCAGTAGGAACGTGTCTTCATTGTCTCCTGATGATCATTTAATATAAATATATTGTAAATGTGTTATCGATTCACTCAGAATAATGACCACATTAAAATTTAGTCGACAGAATCCTCTAATTCACTAATGACTAAACAAATGTGACATTCGTTATAAATCATAAATGAATCAACGTTTGTAGCAACAAACCTAACTACTTTTTTATCTTTCCATTCTGTATGGTGAAACACGTTAATTTATTGATATTTTTGTCTTATACCAAAAATATAAGATGCAAATATTCGCAGGTCTGTAAATTAAGTTTGATTTGTGTCTGTTATTAATCACTCGTGCTTCTGGCTTACGGAATATACTTTACCGTTCCAAGCTTGAACTTGTTCCTCTAGTTAGCGAGGCTGGGACGCATCAAAAAGCTAGCTTAATGGTCTACGATCACAAGTCTTTGTCCGTTCGCATACTGAGTGAACTCGTAATAGCTTCAAAACTAGTAGAATGTTTTAATCTTTTCTTAAGACTGGTAACTATGAATTGTAGTTGGAATATTTAATGAGATATGATATCTAAGTTTTAGAATTTTATGCTGATTACATGTTTTAATGAATCGCAAATGCAATTTAAAAGTCTTTCTCAGTTTTAAATGTGAAGTGAAAGTGTAGAAAATGCTAAGGGAAATTTACCAAAATTAATATGATTTTTAATCCATAACATACGTTTAGAATTCTCTGGAAATGTTCACATTTAAATGGTAACTTGTAAGTGTTGGTATGTTAAATCAAATCCGTTGGTAATAAATAGGTTTATTGATCAAAGTAGCTAAGGTTTTTTTTCTTTTAAGAAATTTATGATGGAATCTTGAATCATTCCTTAATAGTTTTCTGAGGTACTTTTTTTAATGTTCCAATGAAAATTCATTATTTGTGAACTTAGTCAAGTAGGACCATGATGCACACTGACGAATAATAACTTTAAATGATGGAATGAGGACTAAGTTGTATTGTTATTTGATCATTGTGGGTTTTTTTTTGGTGTATGATAGACTATGACAACGTTTCACATTATGCGATGTCTCAATTTATATAAATGTAATACGACAGATATAATCATAAATTATACCGTACATTGATAATTAGAATTATGATAAACTCTTAATACCAATATCAAGTATATTTTGGTGGAAAACTTTGAAAATTAAAGAGGATCGAGAAACACATAGTTCTGAGAAAAAATACTCATTTGGTCAGAATATAAATAACTTGTCTGTGTGGAAATTATCAGACCTTCAGACTTACATTTTTACCACTGAGTATGCAGTATATTATTTTTGTTCTTTAGTCTCTTTCATTGGTCGATTCACGTTCTGAAGTTCAGAAATAACTATCCCTGTTTAAATTGTTTAGTTTATATAAAAAAAATAAAGCCCATTTCTAAATCAATAGAAATCGTTCTCGCTTACTTATCAACGTATTATTTTACACTCAATATACATTTTAATATATCTTGAAACATATTTATTTCTCTTCATGTTGTGTTGTATCCAGCCGTAGAAACCCTATAGTATATCAACCTTGAATAATTCCATTTTATCAAAAGTTAAATGGAGAAAACCAAACATTGTTTTAAATTAAATTCTATGGAAACTGTGAGTTGATTATTTATTATTCTAATTATTGTTTATTCAAATTAGATCATAATTAACCGAAATAATTCATAATTATAGTAGTGTAGTTGAAATTTCAATCAACACAACTTGTACCACGGAGAATAAAATATTTGCGTTGTACATTTCAAATAATCTGGTCACACATATACTTGTATGCTCATTTTCTATCAAAATTAATAATGATCAGTCCAATGAAAGTTCAAGTAAAAATTAGACTTTCATTGAATTGACCATTATTAATTTTGATAGAAAATGATCAGACAAGTATATGTGTGACCAGATTATTCGAAATGTACAACGCAAATACATGAGATTTTTCAGATCAACTCCGTCTTCTCATTGTTCTATTGAAATTTGTAAAAGGGATTAATTGCTTTAAATTCTTGAAAAGACTTTTTTCGTCTTGCATTAAACGGTTAGATGAACTTGCTAATCTGAAGTGCAAAGTTGCATCTGAAAATGTAAAATTTGAGTTTTACAAGACTTGCATCACTATACACACATTTCCCAGACAATTTTATAAATCCTTATGATCTAATAAATTGCAACTAAATGTTTCTAATCTTTTGCGGCTTACGAGATTTCACAAGGAAAAAATATAATGATATGATAAGTAAATTAATCGAACTTCCCACTCATGAATCATGTGTATTATTGAATATTTCTCTAATATGTCATATTAAATTTATGAACTTTTGTAGTACAGTAGTTGTTAAAACAAATTACACTATTAAACAAAAGCTGAATAAATCTGTTATTGATCATAAAGATGAAAATTCATTCCAATTTAACCCTGATATTTATGTAACACATTTATCATCTGTTAAACTTTCCGTATTTGAGAAAGAAGCCCTATCTCTCAGATTTAACTTCTCCGTTGCATGTGCCAAGATTTCTAATCTATCGATAGGTGCTCAATTCTAAAATCTCTATGATTAGTTGAACCATCTTGTCCAAACCACTCGACGTAAGGAAAATTGGTTGATAGTGCCCACCACTTTCACGGTTCCCAAATTAGATACAGGAATATTTTGACTTCTAAACATTTCGCCGCTTTACAAAACCTCCAAAGCAACTCAGATAATGCGATCCACGGACCTGACAAAGGTTCAGGGGTGGTTACTATTAATAAATGTGATTATAAAATTTTTTTTAAATCTATACTTGGTGATCATAGTAAGTTCCTGCTGGACGTTCCATGCGATATTAATGTTAGAAAATTGGAATCCAGAGTAAAGTCCAATCTACAAAAGCTTCTTAAAATGAATGTCATATCCAAAGAGGAATTTAATTTGCTAAAACCTTCTTGTTCCGTTCTCCCGAATTTATATGGATCGCCTAAAATTCATAAACCTAATAATCCATTACGACCAATATTATCTATGCGTGGTTCATCGACACATGAACCAGCTAAATGGTTAGTAAAGTTGTTAAACCCAATTCGTAATAAACTATGTAGGTTTTCCTTAGAAGATACATTTGAATTAATATTAAAGATATGACTTCGAATTCCTTTAATGTAAACCAGTAACTAAGACTGGATTCCGTTTGTGACTATATATCTATTAATTTTCTTCTTTTTTCATATTCAGTCATCATTGTTGCAATAATTACTTTTCTTATGTACTGCAAATGTTCAGTTCACGTTTGAAGGTGAATATTTTCGACAAGTTGATGGTGCTGCTATGGGTAGCCCTTCTTGCTGACAGTGACTTGGATGAGTTAGAAGAGATTGCGGCAGTTACCAGTTGCAGCTGTTGCTTCCAACTCATTTGCACTCTTCGATCACCGGGTTTCTCGGTTCTTGCGTAAGCTTTGCACAATTTCATTATGTAACAGTCTTCGTTTGTGGTAGAGTAGACCTATGTGCTTCAACGAGTTGTAAAGAGACTGTAGAAACCCAGTGATTATAAGACGGATGTTTCGCGAACCCACTAATGACTTTATTTGCCATTTTATTGCATCTCGCAATTGCACCCAATGTTTATCCATACTTTTCGTTGAGTTGATAGCTGGCCTTGAACCTCGCTCGGTTTGATATCTAGTTACAACAGAAATTGCAGCCAACTTGCCAAAATCGATCCAGTTGGAGAGATGAATTTATTAGCCATTGAAACCTAAGATAAGGCTAGCCCAAACAAGGGCATGATCAAAATCAAGATAACTACTCCAAAAGGAGCAGCAGTCATGTACACAATTATGACAGAGGTAGCTGATTGAAATGAGATCAATTTGAGTCCAGATATGAAGTGCTTAGGGAGAACACCAGATAGCATATCAGCGATGACTATGCTGATAGTTAGTGCCAGCCAGAAACAGGTTGCAGTTTATGCCAAGTTTCGGTAAACGGTCACCGTTATCAGACCTAAGACCAACAAATCCCAATCGGTCATCCAAATGATTCTTCTGTGTCTAGACGCCCAACATGCTCATTCAAATCTCCGGCCAGTAGTACTACAATATCTGTCGAATGCACTTTCTAGAGATCAATTAACTGTTGCTAGGACTCACCATAGATTGCATCTGGGCCTTTGACCTAGAGGTCTATTACACAAGGCAGTAACGTTAGGAAATGCAGCCCCATGGTAGTTGGCAACCAACAGAACGTTCATACACCATTTGTTTCTTCAGGATCCCGGAATCTATGCGCACTAGTGGTTCCGAATCACACTCGACTACTAATTTCAAACCAGGATTTTCCAGCTTCGTTAGAGGATCTTCCGTACCCACCAACCTGATTAAGGCGCGAGACATTCGCTTCCCGTCCTCTCTACTTCGTAATAAACACCCCTTCTTATATTTACCTTCAATCAGTGGTTACTTAATATATACTTATTTTGAATAAACCGGTCATACTTCCATTGACTAACTAAATATACAATATCATATCGAGTCCCACATTACTTTTGCCGGTAACTTTAATTCCTAAGACAATGAATTTTAGATTTACTGCCAGAGATAGCTGTCTAAAATCGGATCGCAGCCACGCCAGGTAACTAAGAGACATGAGCTAAAAGTACAACTACTAGAATCTCCCAAGATACGTATGAAGTCACATTAAAAAACCCACAGCATCTCAGCTATGACCTAATTGACTAAAAAGATCAAAATGAAAATACGTAAGATCAAGGACTTAGACAATTTGACTAATTACTGTCAGCTTGCAGTTTATAAAACCAGTCACTTTAACTATACTTGTTGTCAACAAATGAAAGTTTATTTATCCTTCGTTTTAAAAATGTGGAAAACTCGGGCAAAATATGATTTTTGAATCGTTGTAAAGAACTACGATCTAAAACAATCATTATCAATGTCTACCAATCGTTACGTCTTTCGACAAAATCTTATGGTAAATATTCTTACCAAGAAGTGCAGTTTGTGCGATGAAAAGGTAGCTTACAATAAGAAATTATTTATAGTTGTACAACAGAATGATGCTTATTTATGGTTTCATTATTGTTAACAGTACAGATGGTTCATTATATGATCGAATTAAATAAACCCTTAGGTGATGTACAAAACGTAGTGGTGGTGACTAAATGTACACCTTCCAACCATAGTTCAGTTGCAACATGAGGAATGGCTTATTAAACCGAGTTTCATAGGTGAAGACAAAAAATTCTATTGTATGGAATGGACCATACGAAAAATCATGTATACATTATTATTCTTATTTGACCATCCAAATACAATCAGTCAGAGCATTAAAAGACAAAAAGTAAACAAAGGATAAACAATATACACAAACAAAAAGAATGCATTAAAAACACAGGCAGTAAAGAGGGTTAATTTCTTGGTATCGTTTTGTTTCCTTTCATTTTTTTCCATTCTGTTTTGCAATTTTCAGTAAATGCATACACAGATAAGGGCATATACATGATAACAATAAAATACAATATGTGAAAGACACCATTTAATTGATTGATATTATTTTGAAAATGGCAAGATAGACTGTCTTTCAAAAAAGGAATAAGAAAGTAGATAAGTAACAAAAACAAGATGATCAAGAAAAGGATGACCCATCATTAAGGTGTTGTAGATGGTTCAAGTAAAGTTCTCTGAGAATTAGAAACCCAATCACGTTGTTGCATACTATTTTCATAAAAAGATTTTGATGTGTGATTGAACAGTGGAATCAATTCATAAGCATCTTGTGACTGTCTTTTTAAGTAAATCAATACTGATGTACCGACACCTTCAATAGAATGCAATTTTAAATTACCACCTAAATATCTAGCATATAGTCTACTTAATGGTAAACCATGTCCTCTTCCAGCAATAGATAAACAGGCATTACGTTCTGGTTCAACTTCACATGTCATTCGATCATTTACTGTAACCTGATTGGCTGATTGAATTGTTGAATAGTTATTCTCAAAATTTAGTACAGTAGGATGTAGATTTGCAGAATGAACAGCTGTTGTATAATTGTATCGAAACGTTTTTTCGACCATATTTAAAGCCATTCCTCCACCAAAATCTGTAATCTGTAGGAAGGGAAAACAACTTCAAATTTACTGTCAATATGGCAACATAAGATTGAATAACTTCCTGATTTATTTTACTCAATTTTTAATACGAAACGGTAGGATATTATTAACATATTTATCTGAAATTCTAATACTCCCATCTATTATATGGAAAGGCAAATAGAATGATATAGAACGTTGCACAGAAGTAGCTAACATAAATAAGGACATCCTAATCATAGAAACACACTTCATCAATGAAAAGAGTGTAGCATTTTGGCCAACCTCAAACAAGCCAACTGTATCAATCCCAATATTTTATCAGAAAAAACAGGTATTCTAATTAAAAGCCTAAAAAATAAATTTGGAAACTTAGGTCAATAACTGAAAGAAATACAACAACCTAGTCAAAATAGTTCAGTTAAAAAATCAATTATCGGAACGTATTCGGATTATGAACGATAAACTTCAAAATGGTATACAAAAATGAAGACTAGGAGACTGTCAACACTGATTATGTGCAAGAATATATGAGGACATAATACTAACCGTTCCGGAAAAGAGCAAACCTGTTACCAAAATTCCATTCACTTAATCAGCAGTAATCATATGCAAGTAAACTGATTCTGTAGTTATAAAACACATGAGTGGAAACAATTAAGTTAGAAAGATTCGGTTTTAAAGAGAATAAAAAAACATGTCACTCGAAATATCAAGTATATACTATTGTATTATCATACTATATCAAGTGAAAAAAGTAGTAGGGAACTGGTTAAAACAACCATAGTTATTGAACCACGAGAGAAGAGTTCGTGACACTATGCTTAAATAATATTTAAGACATCCGAGTGTGTTGACCACTTGATCTTCATGAAATGACACATGACAACCTTAAGCCGAACTCAAGCATGTTCGAAACAGAGAAATACCTCAGTCAGTCAGTAACAACGTAGAACTTCGTAAGTACGTACATCAGTCCGAGTTGCCACACCACATTAGCACAGAGATCCAGTTGTCGATCCAAATCCCATAGTGGTAGAGGTAGTAAGAGTATAAGCAGTAATCGGTAAGGGTTTGAATATGTTATTTAAAGAGTATAATCCAGTGAAATAAATTTAGATAGAGAAAAAAAGGGACATGAAGAATTTAGGAGATTAGAATTTGGGAGAACACAAAGGGTGGATGCACCTGCGCTATTGTAAACGATTTTGAGCCATGTCATTCAGGGTCTATAACAATCGGTTGCTATCATCTCACGGTCCCCAACCAGGTAGTCTACACCTTCCAACATGACTCAGTCCACTTGTCAGTGACTTCATGGATTTGTGCCATGTTTTGATCTGGCCACCCCTAGCTTTCTTCCAACCTACTCCTACACCATGAAACATCGCAAATCAGGGCAGTCGATGGTTGGGCATACGTAACACGTGTCCCAGCCATCTCAACTGATGAAGTTCTACTACTTCATCAATTGATTTGCCATCCTTATCTAGCATCCGTTTCTTAACAACTGCGTTACTTACTCGATGGTCCCAGAATATACGAGCAATGTTTTGGAGACACCTATGATCGAATACTAGTAACCTACAAATATTCTCTACTCTTACCGGCCATGTTTCACTACCATAAAGTAGGACGGAACGAACTGCTGCGCAGTAAACACGTCCTTTGGTTGATAGACGGATATCTCGCCTACGCCATAAATGACGCAAGTTGGTAAAAGCTAATCGAGCCTTCTGTATCCGTGCTGAGATTTCGTCACCCACCAGACCACAAGGGCTGATGAGACTTCCCAAATAAGTGAAGCGATCGACAAGCTCAATTACTTCACTCCCTATCATTAGTTCGGGTGTCGATGCAACCCAATCCTGAAACAACATTTTGCATCTTTAAAAAGGGTTCACGTCGTTCCTGTAACGACTATCGGGGGATAAGTCTACTTCCGATTGCGTTAAAGCGATTGGCTTCCGTCATAGTTCGTAGGTTGTTCAAAACCCATGAAAGATTGACTCGCGAGGAGCAGGCAGGTTTTCATTCTGGTCGAAGATGTATTGATCATATCCTCAATCTCCGTCAAATGTTAGAACACCGTCATACTTATCACAGGCCAACAATCGTAGTGTTTTTTGACATCAGTGTTGCCTTCGATTCGTTGGACAGGACTGTTTTCTGGGATTGTCTATTGAAGAAGGGTGTGTCTGAAAAGTTTAGTAACATCCTAAAGACCCTATACACAAACATATCGGGTAGAGTGAGGGCAAACAACCACCTTTCTCCATTGTTCCATCCAAGCAGTTGGGTTAGACAGGGTTGCTCAATCTCACCATTCCTCTTCAACTTTGCCACCGATGACATTCTGGAAACAGCCCTGATGGATGTACGTAATGGCGATGTGATCTATTCGAGTTCAACGTTGGGACGAATTAGGGGGTCGCCATGTCAAAAGATGTTTTTCCTTATGCTTAAAGTTAGTATTTGCAAGGAACAGGCGGTTATCTGAGCACAGATGCAACAGACGGTCGCCATCAACTGTTCTCTGAGCCACGACACTATAAGATCCACCCAGGTGTCTTTCTCTCTCACTTAGTTTACCTACTTGAGCATTAAAGTCACCAGCCACTATTACTACATCAGAGCGTCTAGCTTTTCGGAGGTCGGAAAGCTTTCTGTAAAACTCATCTTTCACATCATCTGAGCTGCAATCAGTGGGAGAGTAGGCAGAGACGAGTGTCCCTATCTTTCCGAGTCCTTACTGTTCCGTTTAGTCAGACAGCGCACAAACGACTGTCTACTGGGATCCAGTCTAAGAGAGCTAGTTCTGCCATAGGACTCAATGTTATACCTACGCTAGCTGGGCCACGGAAAGCAGCATCAGGGCTTCCAGACACACGAAGCGTGAATCGAGTTGGTTCTTTATTTTGATATGCTGAGGTCAAATGAATGACGCTACTCAGATTCTGTATGCGCGTCTCGGAGACGAAGCACATATCGATGGCGCGAGATTTTAAAGTCCTAGCTAAGGAAGTCTGTTGTCCTATTTGGCAGTGTTCGGACGTTGAAAGCCCCTACGTGTAGTTTAGAAGCGTGGTTTCAGGAGACCAGGAATAACCTTCCGCGTACTCGAATCGTTTGCCCTAGCGGAGTGAGATGATAAAGGGACGTGAGAAGGGTTAGTCGTGGAGATTAAAGAGTTATTAGGTGTAGGAAGGATTTGAATGTGACCAACTTGGTCTCTTGTGCTGTTACGGGTATGAGGGTTGATATCACTTCCCGGCTGCCCACACCATGGGAGGGTATTTCTTGAGGAGCCTGGAAAGGAAACCGGATTAGTGTTGGTCTTAACGACCTGGAAGTGTGACTGCAGAGCCCAAGGGAAAACTGCTTGAGGCCGGTCGCGCACAGCCTTTTCGTGGGAGGTTTTTAATGTGTTAGCTCCGTTCTTCAAAGAGCCTTACCACCGGAGACGGAAATCCGTGAGGTAAGGCGAGGTGTGACATTTTTAGGGTCAACCTTTTCTAACCCCTTCCTTGTGAGAAGGCAGCATCGCTGCAGATGCTGGTTGTCCGAGGGAAACACCTTACTGCTGTCACACTCCTCTACAGTCAGTAGTACAACTTCTCCCTCAGACCTTGAGTTGCTGCTTTTAGTCTTACCTTTCTCAAATCGACCTACCTGACATGGCAGAACCTACAGGAACATATGTTCCAGTTAATATAGCTCGGTTGGGTCATCATGATAGGCAAGCCCGACCACTGTGTCAAAGTAGCAGCTACAGTCGAGAGAGAAATACCTAACCGCATATTACGACAACAGTGCATATATTTTGACCAAACGCACAACAAAGACCTGTTATACCAAAACAAAAAGCTACACACATTTTTCTACTTATGTGTAAAAACATATTACTCACACTTGGTCTAACCGACGAATTGCAGATATTGAAGATCCCAACTTATAAACAAAGGTGGACAATTTACATGAGCTGAAGTGGATAGCTAAGACTTACCCCGATATATTGTTAAAGACAAAGTGTGCGTGAAGTGAAAAAACCGTAGTGTTAGATACAATTTGTTAGGTCGATAGTTGTTGATCCAAGATGAATGAAAAAGCATAGGGATCCCAGATAGAGTTTCAAGTATGCTAAATCTTGGTAATTAGAGGTGTAAAGTGACTATAATCGATTGCAGTCACATTACTTCAAACTTGCTAATATACTTTTCTCACTTATTTTCGAGTTCTGTGGACTTCAATTTTTGATCACTGAAGAGTGATATAACGCCTTTAACACGATAATCCCAGAAGTTGTATGTGGAATTATCGATTAATGTGTCCAAAACATGATAATGATTATCTAGTATAAATCAGTTATCAGTAATTCAAATGAACCATCTAAACAAATACAAACGTTTCCACTCATTTATCTTATTGGCCTATGTCCATTTCTTTTGCATTCATCAATGATCCTCTTATGAAGACAGTTCCATTCTCTATTTTATTCTCCGGTATTATTGTGGAGTTTGATAACATGAATCAAAATGCATTGAAGCAAAGTTATGTTTATTTTGAGGGTTAAAGAAGGTTCCCATGATGGGAACAGTGTGGTTTATTGTTTAAAGCAAGCTCTACACCTTTGTGAAGATTATCCTTCGTATAATCTAAACTGTTATCACTATGTACATAAACAGAAACTGCAAAAAGTTTGGTATCTTCTAATGGCTCTTAAAGTTAATGAAGACTCTTGGTACTCACAAAAAAATAATAGTTGAATATTGTTGTTTTTTGTTGAATTAAGTACAAAAATTCGGATTATTTCCAAGTAATACAAAGAAAGAATTAGGAGTCGCTTGACAAGTGCACCATAAGTGTAAGGACCGATAAAGTACCTGGTAATAAACTTAAATCATTTCACCAGTCAATTGCAAGTTTGTGCCCGGAGTCGTGACTTACAACAAATGTATGAGTTGTGAGGATATCTAACTGTGTGAAGTAGGTTACGTAGAAAGCTCAAATATGTAGTA